TTTTATTTTTTTCCCCCCAAAGTCTTTATTTTCTCCTTCCACCGGAAACGCGGATGTGGTGTTGGGTAAATGGCCTTCAGTGTTCAGGCTACCATAAAGAGCCTTTCTTTTGCTTGCCTGCCCTTCTCTCTCGGTTTCTCTGTCTTTCTCGCTCTCCTAGGCTCAGATTTAGACTGCGCTCCGGCCCTGCTATCGGGCGGCGAGCCGTAAACAGGAGCCGTACACCGATCACCTTCATTCACCCAGTTCATTTTTTGCTCCCTCCACCCGCTTAAACCCTGACCACCTAAAAAAACAAAAGAGGATGAAAAATCTTGTGGGAATGACTCCCCTGTGTGGAGGATGTCTCGCCGGGTATGTCCCTAGCTCATCGGCTGCATGACACACAGGCCCTTTATGTACACCACCCCCCCCCCCCCCCCCCCCCACCCGCCTTCTCATCCACACCCCAGAGGCTCCCATTCAGCCCAGGCCTGGCTGGGGGGGAAGTTGGAGCTCTTTTGTAGTGGGGGATTCTTAAGGGAAGCTGTCAAGGCTGCGACTGTGTGGACCTTTATTTCCCCAGAGAAGAGGGGGGGGGGGGGGGTAGAGGGAGAGGGCAGGAGGGAGACGACGAGCGGAGGGGGGGGGGGGGTACCAATGGAAGGTTCGGACACAGACAGCCTTGTTAACAGGCACCCCATATAGTGGAAGAGGATGAGAGGGAGAAAGCAACAGGGAGAAGGCAAAGTAACAGCGAGAATGAATTGAAGCCCAAAAACTTTCCCCCCGGTTACGTCATCGCTGTTATTCCGTCCTCCTCCTCCTCCTCCTCCTCTTTTCTTCTACTCCTCCCTATCCGCTCTCTCCATTTGTCACTATGTAAGCTAACTCTTCAGCTCAATAACAAGCTTTTGCCCTCCCCGTCACCCTTCCTCACCCCCTTCTCACCCTCCGCCATTACTTTACACACATTCCATTATCTGGGAGACCAGGCTAAGAGAGATGTCTGGGGTCGGAGCGATCATTATCATCACCTCTCCCCGCAACACTTTGAGTTATAGCCCGCCGTATGGGAAACAGACATTTAAATCATAATCAATAGAGCAATATCAATGCCGAGAGGCACGGCTAAAGGAAATCACTGCCGCTGCTCAGGAGGAAACGGAGACGCGTGGTTCGGACTGAGATAGCTGTGCTGGCTTATTGATAAAATACGATCAAGCCGCAAAATACATTATGCGGCATCACGCTCGGCGCTGCCTTTTTTTTTGAAAAATAAACTCACTTTCGTTGATATGATGGTGATGCATCGAATATGGCGGGTTTGTGAACGTGTGTAGATTGGGGAAGGTGATTTGAGTGGCGGATCTCCAGGTCCCTGCAGCTCGTGTATTGCTTCCAGGCAGAGCGGAGGACGCTGTCATGCTGTATACGTGAACCTCTGGTCATGCTGAGTCCTCCTAGGGGGAGCAGGACTACAGACACACAAGGTTTTGTCCGGCAAGGGCCGATGCAAGGTGACAGGTGCGACCTGACCTGGCTGCGACTGGAGCACGGCCGCCGCCGCCGCTGAGAGATCAGGACTGAATCTTGGACTGACTGAAAATACCAGGTCTCCATACAGCAACGGTGCACCTCATCACTGTCGAGGACGAGCTTCTCTGAGCCACGATGCAAACACACGTCATGTGATCAGTCAGGACCAATTGCAGTTGTAACTGGCAGGGACAGAGCACCAAATCCCTGTTATTAGCTGTGTTTGCTGGGAATTAGGTAATCAATTGGACGTTTCACATCATGAAACAGATTCACATCTGGATTGATCACATTCAATCCAGGTGGCATGTATTTGAGGTGTTTTTGGTTGGCACGACTTTTTGCAACTTATGGAAAAGGGTTTTCTCAATAGATGTTATTGAATGTGTTTTGCATTTGACATTCAAGTAGGAAGTTTTGACATTCAAGTTTTGGGATTTCATTTTCTCCGGTGTCGTTCAGAACAATGTGAGACATTAGTGTTCCACCTGAAGGTATAAGGCTTGGGCTTTGCTTCTGTTATTGAGACTTGACTCACATGTATTCTAAAAAAAAAGAAACAGCCACAATTAATAATGCTACAGAGAAAATTAAATAAGCACAAATTGATTTGCATGCACATCACTTTCAAAGTATCAGATCAACTAGATCTATCTACTATTCAATTATAATTTTACTTGGGTTGAATTAACTTGACTGGGACACTGTAATTGTGTTTACTGTTTGTAAGAAAGTTAATTGGTCAGATCATTTTGAAGGGAATTTGCATATCGATACGCGTTCAGGCCGCTGACAAAGATGGATATAATGTGATTACAGTTCATAATGAAATACTTATTGTTAAGCGGCACCTAGCGTATTAAAACTCTGAATTGAATGTCAGGTTGAGTAGCGGAGTCAAGCGCATAGTCAGCCTCACCAAATTCAGATCATGTTCAGAAGCACTGAGCTGCTACCCAGAATCCGAGGTCCTGTGTGGGAGTGAGCTGTGAGCAGAGAGTGCTCTGCACATCACGGCTCATGCGTGGCCAAAGCCCACGCAGTGCTGATGACGGGGATCATCTGCTAGCTCTGTCAATCTACTGTATTACCCGATCCCAGATGATTGTGGAGGTTTGGAAATGTACAACTCAACCCAGCGCATATATAGAGTAAGATGTGACACGTCATTTGAACAGTCAGTTCCTGTGCCGTATTTCAGCGACGTAGACTGAAGGTACCGAGGTTATGCAGGCGACTAAAAGGAGGAAACAGCTCCGGAGCACGAGCAAAAAGCCAACGGTCTGCTATAAATGTAAAAAGAGAAATAACCCTGCCTAAAAACAATTACTTGGCTATCTTAATTGCTTTCCAAAGAAAATACTTTATGTCACCTTCTACCATTTAAACCTAACCACCCGCTATTTTTTTATATGTTTTTAAATGGTGCCTGCAGCATGTCTTGGTGGCCAAGATATTTGGACTCCGCCTCTACATCTTAAGGACTAGATTCCTTTATAGGATCGCGGGACTCGACACTGGCTAACAAAAACAAAAGAAAATCCCCAAATGTTCAGAACACGGAGCAGTGCTTTATTCTGCAAGCTGGGGAATCCAAATCCAATTATTTACCAGTTCTCATTTAGTAATGTCTTATATGACAATTCAAAACGGATAATGTTTTGCTATACATTTTCAATTAGGCTAACAGTTTTTCATGCCGGTCTCCTGACATTTCTCAACCCATCTGACATACACTTGGTGAAGTGTGAACCAATTCGCAAATGAGGGTTATTCTGGGAGAGTCACGTCTCCTCCCACTCTCCACGGCACCCGGGAGAGGGTTGTAAAAGCTGTTGTCCTTTAGTTATGACGGCGCGCGAGTCGGGAGCCGCATGAGGAAAAGAAAGGCTCTTGAGTCGGAGTCCTCCTTTCTCCTCTCTCCCTCTTTTCTCTGTTCCCCAGCCTGCCTCTCTCTCTCTCTCTGCATGCGCCCGGCTACTCTGTCATCCTCAGGGGTGTGTCTGAAGGAGACCATCTGTTGATCCATTTGTCTCCTGCTTTGCTTACTGTGCCACCGCCTCTCTCCAATTGATGATCAGGCCTGGCCTTTCCCCTTCCCACCCTCTCGGAAGCTGCCAACAGGCACTCGGGGGCGCAGTGGGGGGTCCGGTTGGGGGGGCGAGAGGCTTTGCCCTGTGTAGTCTCTGATTCCCACAGACAAAAAGAAAATGGCAATTGGGAAATGGATCCTCTGACACCAGAGCAGCTGGTGAAGATCGGTGTTTATCCAAAGTAAACGAGATAGTGTTGACCCCAGTGAAAAAATCTATTAATTTAATTTTGCATTGTTGATATCCAAACTATCCATCTTTTCCCACTAGGACTGGGACACAGAGTTTATGATTACGTGAGGCACAGACCATGAAATAGATGTTAGAAACAATGGCGCTGAAGGACCGTCACTGGAGGCTTCCCGAGCATTCACCACCAAAACAACGTTATTGCTTGTGAAGCGCTGTCACTAAACCGAGGGGGGCGGGTCTTGGTTTCCATGCACATCTCTTAGCTGTCACCTTGCATGCACGTTCAGGGGTTTGATGGACACTGAGTCCACCTTGGGGACTTTGGGGATTGCTCGCCTTTGATCTTCTCCCAGGACTCTCGATTACCCATCATTCAGCGGGGCTTAGGCCCTGGAGAGCAGCTGGGATAGGGGGGGGGGGTGTCAACATGAGCCTGGATGTACCCGGGAGAGACTCACCGACGTCCAACTCAAGACATCATGTAGCAGGTCACACAAACACGGAGGAAAATGTGCACTAATAGTGCTTGTTGTGAAGGTTTGGATCAGAAGTGCGCGGGACTTCAGAGGGTGGGAGGCAGTTGAAACACGTCAAGGTGGTAACTCTGTCAGGATATGTAGTGAGGTTCCAATCCGCATGGAGGGCTTTGCAGCGTCACAATAAAAAATCTTGTTATCATCTTTCTCTCTCCATCTGTGGAGTTTTCATAGATTTCTAAGATTTTCATCAAGACCGCTCAATGCATCCGATGATGGGTGCTCACCCGGGGAGACACGCCATCGATTTCCATTAAGGTGCAGATGACATGTGGTCACACACGCTCCTATTTTACCAACAGCTTTGTCACGTAATAAGTCATGGTTTCAGCTCTGCTGTCAACCAGTTCGGTTGTTCTTCTCAACGTTTGTGTTGGGGTTAGTTCCTGTGGATAACCTTTCGTGCTGCAGGCGCACGTGAAAAATAATTATCTGTGGTCTATTGCACATGCAAGTTCAGTAATTCCCTGAATAAGGGGAAGGTGTGTGGACAGGGGGGGAGGGAGGGGCAGCAACATCTTTGGTTCCAAAATAATGGCATAGGGGCCGCCTAGTCTTTGCTTTATCACAAATACCTGTAAAACATGTGATTATGTCATTTTGTATTCATCAGCTGTCTCCGGCTGACTTTGTAATCTCTTATTGTCTGTGTCTTTTGCAGGCTTCCTCAGTACTGGTGACCAGGCTGCTAAAGGGAACTACGGACTCCTCGACCAGATCCAGGCTTTAAGGTGGATCAGCGAGAACATCGGCTTCTTCGGAGGAGATTCCAACCGCATCACTGTGTTCGGTTCTGGCATCGGGGCTTCGTGCGTCAGCCTGCTCACACTCTCCCACCACTCTGAAGGTACATTACAGCAGCCATGAGGGATGAGGGGGATGGGTGATACAGCTGTGGAGCTCATGCCGGCTGTTGTGTAGGCTGCCTTGATTTCCGAAACTGGCGATGCAGCTAGAGAGGTATCAACTGAATGCATTCTACTGTTCTGCACAGCATAACGAATGCTTTAGGAGCAGGTGTTTGCATTTAAATTATTGTAATGTTTATTACCATCCGGAACATGAAACTGCATGGCCGATTTCTAACTACATATGGGTCTTGATGTACTCTGCTGGTTTGCAAGCATCCCTCTCTGTCAGGAACAAACATGTATCTGTAATGTGTCTTGGTAAGCAAGACAAATAAAAAAGGGACATGATGTACTAGAGGGAGGTTTTAGGGGCATGCTAAATGCACACACTTGCTTTGTCAACAATGTTGTTTATCTCCTGGGTACTTTAAGTGCCTCTGCTTGATGATGTACTGCCCTTGTTGGCCATGTCTTAAATACTGGAGTCAGTGTGTACGGTGCATCCAGTATTATGCTGGAATGCAAGAAGTAGGATGGAGGCTGATTCCTTATTGGTAAGTTCCTGTAGGAAGTGCTTTGGCTTTTACATTAGGACCCGTTCATGAATGCAGCCTGCAGACCCAAATGGACACAGTATCATCCTTAAAATGAAATGATTAGTCAGTCACCTATTTGTTTGTTTTACTTGATAGCAGTGTTGTGTACAATTTACATGGCAGGCTATTAGGATACTGAGGCGTTGGTGAGTATTGCACTGTTCATGCAATACTCACCAACATGTAGAGATGTTGGTGATATTCCAAATGGGAAATCTTTACATTAAGCCTGGCTCACAAAGCCGGCTTGTGAACATGTTAGCAACTTTGGACATGCATGACTTGAAATCTAACACAGGGATTGTACTCTAGATTGCAGATAAGGGAGAGCACTTTTCAGTGAGATAAAGTATTGGGCTAAGGCAACACTGTGGTCAGGGAACTATTAAGGTGAACACTCCCACACACACAAATACTTACTATATACGTCCGTGAAAAAGCTTCTGCAGAGTTTCAACACTGGCGCAGAGAAGAACCTCCTGAAAAATGTGACTTTTGCAACAGCCACAGTAACCTCTTTTACCAATTCTACGCCCATGAGCTCTTCCTCGTCAACTCTTATCAGTTAATTTACAGCCATGTAGTTGTGTTGGACCAAACTTGTGGAACCACTGTATCAAGCCAATGAAATACTTTAAATGAAATACCCCCTGAAAATTTTTTTGAAATGAAGAAGAAGTGACAAGCTACACGCAAACCACCCAGTAGTCTGCTGTGAATGCCTGGGGTGAGTTGTAAAACGTTGGTAAAAATCCAGCGTTACCTACAGACACATTTTATTTTCCTGTCAGCAGACTTTATGTTCTTGGATTTTTGATTTGGCCCACGAGCATTTCAAAGAGGTCATTTGATCTGCTCGTCTTCGGTCCCTATTACAGCGCCAGGGATTTGTGATCTGTTTTGCATTTCCCAATTTGCATTAAAGTGTTACTAATTGCCTTGATTTCCTCCGATGAATGATGACTGCTTTTCGATTGAATTTTTACCATAAATGCCTTTTTTATTCATACTCCATAATGTTACGCTCCATGTAGCATGGTATTATACTGCCAGTGAAACCATCTCCTCTGCCTCCCAGTAAATTGGATATTACCGGGTCTGTTTTTTCCTCTGAATTGAAATGTATGCCCCACTGATGGGATAAAAAAAAATAACACTAAAACTTGAGGGATTCTTGCAAATTGAAACAGGAAGCCTTCTATCATTCTATCATACCGGGACTCTTGCTGCGAATGTTACCAATGGCAATCGGATTTCACACAGTCTCTCTCGGAGCACAGATTGTCGTAATTATATAAAGTTTAGGACTGGAGTGGGCTGCCGGATGTGACAGGAAATCCAAGTGAGGAAATGTCTTTTTGCACCTGCTTCACAACCTCCGGTCTACTCTACCCCTCCTCTCCTCGTCATCCTCCTCTTCTGTAGTCTTAACTGTTGAGATGAAACCCGGTAGGACGTTCTTGTTGCCAAGACAATGCAGTAAACACCAAAGTAATCATTGTCTGGATCTGCTTAGTGGCCGTCCTTGATGCTAAAATCGATAAGCAAATAAATTATAGACTGTGGCATGAGCACACCTGGTTTCAGGTGACTTGCAGTAAAGGATTTGTGTAATCATTTCCTATCCGTGTTTGCAGACCCAGGAAGAGACTCTTTCGTTCCGTTTTTCAACTTTGCTTTCTGAATGGAAATTAAATCAGGAAACAAGATTGTTCATCACCTGATTCGGCTTTTCATTTCGACTTGCTCCGAAATAAAAATTCATCCTCTAGAAATAGAGGCACCGGTGTCATATTTAATGTGGCGTGTTTGAATTCAGGAGTGATAATGATAACATGCCGTCGGTAGGGTTCACAAAAAAAAAAAAATCTCTTCCCCTGCTGCTCCAAATGCGGGATAACGAGGCCCGGCTAAAAAAGAAGTAAATCACCGATGACACAATATTGTGAAGCTCCCCCGGTGTGTCGGTGTGTTTAATGACAGTATTCCCACTCTTACTGTACGCTGACATCCCTCTGACATCCCTGCCTAAATTACATAAAATGTCCATCTAAGGGAGACTCTCTTTCATGCCGGTTGGTGACAACTTACTTTAGATGCTCCATGCTCCTCCTGAAGCCCGTTTTAATAAGGCTGAATCTTTCATATCACCAATGTCTGGCGCCCTCTTCTGCTTTGATGGCCTGCTCCTCTGGCCTGGCCTTGGTCGCGTCTCCATGTGGGCGTGCCGAGAGCTCCAGTCACAGGGTACATCCATCAGCCCCGCAGCCCCAACCGCCCCCCCCCATCCCCTCCCACCCTCTGGCCTGCGTGGAGGTTGACGGTGGATCGGCTCTCGTGAGGGCTGGATTTTAGACCCCGTTTTGTGCCCTGCCTCCTCCATCTAATCTCCTCCTGACTGCACCCATCTGTCTCCCTGCCTTCACACGCAGTGAAAGACTGCAGTGAGGCCCAACCTTTCCCCTCATGGGCTGATTGTACTCCCTCCCTTTCTCCCTCTCCGGGTTCCTGCTCCCTAGTCAGTCAGCATGTGTGGTGTGTTGCTATTAATAAGATGGCTGCCTTGTATGCCATGTGGCAGGCAATCTAGCCGCACATCCGAGATTTTGGAAGCAGGATGGTCATTAAAAACGCAGTCCCTCTCAGCAGGAGAGTCCTTTTGACCAGCTTATTAAACATGGCCCAACAGTTGTGTTCACCACAGATGAATATCTCTGTCCCTATCTTCTTTTTCCCGGGCTTCAAACAGGAAACGGCCAAAGAAGTTCAGTAGCAAGGACATTAGTTTCATGTATTATCTCTGTGGCATCACACAGGCACTCATTGAACATGCAGATTTGTCTTTTTTCTTATCTCGTAATGATCATTATGATATGAAATGGTAGATTCTCTACACTTGAAAAGAATACCATCAGTCGATATATATGGTTTTCTGCCCTGATAACCTACAAAAAGCCTGCCGTATATGGATGCACGTGTTTCTGAGTGCGCGTCCCGGCTGTCCATATACGTTCATGCCGGAGCCTCTATTCGCAGAGCTCTTGTGAGGGACGGGCTAGTTGTAGAGCTACTGAAGGTCGTTTGGTTTCTTTTTTTTTCCTTCTCTTCCTGTAAGCAATCAGGATAAAAGCTACGCTTCTGAGGAAGTGCTCCCCTTTTAATGGAACGTCTTGGACATTAAAGACAGCTAGTGTAGAGGATCCTTCATGCCAATGTCAGCTTTCATTTTTATTAAGACTTCTGGGTTGTTGAGGACCATAAATGTTCATGTTAAATGCTTGGCTTTTATTGCAGCAGTGCAATGAGTACCAAGGCTTTTTAATGCAAGACCACCACCTGGCAAACACCTAAACCCCTTGAACCTTGGGCGTTAAGAGGGAAGTGTGACAGGTACTCCTTTTTCAGCTAAGGGACATTTTGGAACCCATTTAGTTTGAAGGATAGCACAGAGGTGATCAAGTGAAGGAGTGCATTGTGGGATGCGTATGAACTAAGGATCAGAAGGATTTAAAAAATACAAAATTGCTGAAATATTGCTCTATTAATGGCTGCTCTTCATGTAGTGAACTACCTGCCGTGGTGTTTTGCACAAAAATGTATGATTCATAAGGTCTTAGAAAGGAGGTGACTTCATAACGAAGTCATTGATGTATTACTGTACAGCTTCCCTCTGCTGATTGGACGAGAAACTACCTTCTGTTAGAGTGTGAGGTTGTGATTACAGGGAGGTACAAACCGCTGCATCCTTTGTGATCAAGTATGGCTGCCAAAGAAAAGCTTCAGAGCTTCAGAACGTTTGCGCTGATCCATTTTTTTGTGGTGATCATTAATAATCTGCACCCATCACATATCGGCAATTGATTTTAAAACCACCTTTTCTCCTCCGCATTACCATCTTACTATGCAAGGCATGAGCGTTGCTCTGTGGTGTAAACAAAAGAAATATTTCATATAGAATAGATACTGAAAGAGAGGCAAATAAGTAGAAGTGATGAAAAAGTTTTGAAGAATTGAAAACAACGAGAATAATAAGACATACTGTTAAATGTTAAATCATGGGTTTATGCTGAATAGACCATAATACAGACCTCAAATGAATCGAAAACGTGTTTTAATTCCTATCAAGTGCTTCATTAAACAAAATGCTGCCTCATTATCATATTTTCTGAAAGCCAGACAAAGAGTAATCACGATTGATATTTTTTTGTATGTCTTGATTCCTGAGCCAGGTAAAATATATTTAATGTGATCGTTTTTGTTTTATTTCATTTTTCAGTAAGTTTAGTTCCCTCATGGTTTTAAACGTCCTGGACAAAGATTCAGTTCAAAAAAGAGCAAGACAGTATTAATGGTATTAAAGCTTTTTAAAGCAACCCGTCTTTTAATATTTGTGAAGAGCT